GCAAACAAAAAAGCTTACCCTGCTTGACAGTTCCACCAGAGCATACACAGTTAGGGTCTCTTATCAAGGAAAGTGTCTCACTTGATTGGGACGTGCATAAGCCACCCAATCCAAATTGCCTTCCAGATGTCAAACGAGGGATCTTCTACCAATTGCATCCCCATCCTGAGTACAGCAGGAGCCTGAGCACTGGCCTAATCCACTGCTGTGCTTGAATCCCCCTTCACTAAAGGACTTCATTATAATAAATATGTTATATCAGTGAATTTCAAAGGAATTAAGTCATTTGCCACATACTTGAAGGAGTCACTGATGATTCTAATGGAATGAGGGTAGTTAAACATCTCTCAACGCTTTCATTTAAGGGGAAAAAAACCCACCACCACCAACAAAAAACAAACACCAGCCTACTGAAAGCCCTGTATCACAATTTTCAAAGGCCTCATCCTGTGTGTCTGCGGAAGAGGAGTTCTGCTACACGAGGGGGGAAAAGCAAGCCAAACCAACTCCAAGCACAAGCTGTTCCTCTCAAGAACACAGCATTTGTGTGGCTAAGCCAGCCTTCTCACGGAAATCACAACAGACATCCTAGCTGCTCTGAGAGAAGCTCGCCAAGGTTGACCCTCATCTGCATCAGCTAAGAAAAACTTATTTCCCCAGACACAAATCTACCCCTTTTCCAAACATGACTTGGAAAAAGATGTCAATTGGGCCACAGAATACAGGAATAAAATAAAACGTACATTTTACTGTTCATCGTATTTTCCTTACCTGCTCCTTGCCTAGTACTCCTTTCCCAGACAAACACGTACCGCTGTGAAGCTCTGAGTTGCCTTCTTTGGTCTCCAAAAATGAGGAGGTTTTTCCTCTCAGCCCTGCGCTAAAGGTGGGATGGAATTTACTTGCTTCTCATGTGAGACATGAATTTTTCCTTATTATTTCCTTTCAAAAATGTAGGCCTGCTACAGAGGAAAAAAAGAAAAAGCTCTTTGCAGCAGATCTAGGAAACCAGGCATGTCCTTCTAGACTGCAACTTTCCTCAGATAAAAAAAAAAGTCAACTAAAGCAATAAAAGAAGAGCAATGTTCATCAACTACATTCAGTAAGGTACTGTTTTACAGATATTGCTGGTATTTTCCCTCTGAGTTTAACTTGCTGCTACTAAGACAAAAAATGAAAGGTCAATCGAACAACCGCTTCCCCTTCAGGCTGAGAAGTCCCCATTCCCACCTCACTTTGTTGCCCTCCAAAAGTCTGACGGATCCATTTCTTCCAAACTACAGCTATCATGCCAACACAACATTCAGTTGACAACGACAAGACTCAACTATAATGGCAACACAATATTCAATCTACAACACAGTTGCATATCCAGCCTGAAGGGTGCCTTTGTAACAAGGAAGGCCCTTGCCATATGATTGGCAAAGCCAGGAGGAAAGAAACACGCAAGCGATGCGGGCTTGTCTTCAGAACAAGTTTTATTAAGGTTTTGCTTTAACAAACAAATGTGTGAAGGCATCGATTCCTTAAGTTTTCTGTCGTATGGCATGGACAAAAGGAAAAACAACAGATTGGGAAGCGAATTCGGCACATAAACAACAGAGTAACAAAAGAGGCATGGATTAGTCTATATAGCTGTTATACCATCTATTAGAAGACATTTTGCAAGCAACAGTCTACATTTCTTTGCATTTAAGTAAAAACATATTTTTGATCAAGAAAATTACTTTTTCTTTTTTTTTAAAACTTTTTCCTTTATATCACAAATGTCAGGGTAAGGCAAATCCCAGATGAATTGTATGATAAAAACCCCTATTCCCCGAGAAAATAGATCCGACATACTCTGCTAAGTTTGTCGGTTTGAAAGCAAAGCAGGCATGCACTGCATATAGAGAAATGTCTTTTTTTTTTTTTTTTTCTTTTTTTCCTTTTGATCAAGTGCATAAAGCAGAACAGTGTTAATTCACAAAGAGGCTTTTTCAGTGCTTTATAGAAAGATTTGCAATTAGCTGCAGTGAATGTGTGACCCAGCGTTACAGATGACGTCTCAGACATCTTCTTTGGAGGTCGGCGTGGAAGGAAACCCGCCCATCATTGGAGCAGTCACTGGCTGGAGGATTAGCGAGCCTCACAGCAGGGACCAGCACTTTCAGAAATAGGAGCTGCAACGTTAAAGCAGAGTCTGATACCTTGCATGCAGACACCAACAGGCAGGGGCTTCCCCTCTATGCCAGGTACCAGCTCCCACATTTCTATATTTCCTGTCACATCCACATGTGTGGAGGAGCATGGGCCCAGCTGCAACCAGCAAACCCAACTGAGGAACTCACACCACCCAACTCTGCCCACTCTATGTGAGTGACAAATAAAAGAAGCCGTAACAAAATGAAAATCCACTGGAAGAAAGAGAGAGACCTATCTGAAGATCGCCCTGTAAGGATTTAATCAACTCATACATTTATTTATTCAACACTTCCTACACTTCTAGACTTCACACTTGCTGCTGCGTCTTCAGGAGAACCTTTCCCAGCTTCAGAGGCTTGCTGCTATTCAAAGACCAAGGCTGAATGAAAAGTGCAATGTAATTACTGTCAGAGGTTATAAATATCATGTCTGACATGAGGCATTTTTGCAGTTACTTATTGTTCTTTACTTCAGTTGGTCTTTGCAAGGACTTAGGTGAGCCTTTGTCTCCAAACAGTTGTGCTTCTATGGCCAGCCTCCTTGCCAAAACCAAGGCTAGCAAATGCTTGAGGGATCTGTGACAGCTCTGTTGAGGTTAGTTTAACCCAGCTGAGGACCTGGCAATCTAGGTTGTCTTCAATGTTTCTGAGCAATTCAAAGACGAGCTTTCCCAATCTATCCCATGCCGTATGGAGGCAGTTCTCTCACATTCCCAGAGAAATTGATCCCTTTGATCTTTGTCTTTTCATAGAGACAGCACTAACAAAGGAACTGTGGTGTGAGATACCTAATGCATTCTTTCCTCTTCTCCCCAGTCTTCCACCTTCTGTTATGACAGACTGTTTAAATCAAAATCAGCAAGTACAGAAGACACATAGAAAGGGATGTGCATCGCAGAGATGCACTATTTGCAAAGCCATTGTCTACATAACTGGAATCTGCTGGAAAAGAGGTGAAGGAACATTAGCAAAATGTCTGTGTTCCAAAAGATGCATTTTTTTTGCATCTGGCAAGCTAACAGGGATAAGAAAAAGAAACAGAAGAGTGGCTTCAAAGTGAATAAAGTCCAAAATGTAGAGCCAGAGGGTAGTTATCTCTCTAGGAAAACTAGCAAGAGTGTAAGACAGATTAAGAGGCTTATGCTGTTTCTTCTAAAGCTGACCCAACTCCAAGTACCACTAATCTCCAGGAGAACTGTATGATGAAGATCTTCTTGAGATCTTCTCTGGCATGACCTCCATATGGTGCAAAATGCCACAGGAGCTGGCACGCAGAAATATTCATCCACCAAAGATACCACAAAAAGCAAATGTGCTGCAGCCATACACAAGGTGAGAGGAGGCAGTGTTCCTAGGAACTGTGCGTGTTCTCATGGGGAAATCCGGAGCTTTTGTTGCTTTCTTTTCTAATCCTTGCTTGTCTTGACACTCTTCCAAATCAACCTGCAGCAGACGCAGTCATCAAATGCCATAGCTGATGCTATATTCTGTAGGGATACAGTTTACTTGCTGATGCTGGTGGAGAATTTATCACCAAAGCTCCCACACCTGGGACAAACGTAGATCGCAGGAGGATGGACATCCTTCCACATCTTGGAAAATATCTTGCCTTTTAGTAGTAAATAATTGATTTGGAATTAGTGCCTATTCAGGAGGAGGAAAAAGAGACCATCGCAGCTACTTTGGTTAAAAGGATCCAATTATTATCAGTGGCATTTTTAAATATGGTTTGTAGCCCAGGGACAGGTTGTGCGCTCTTCCGTCGTGCGTATCTTCTACTGGTTTCATTTGCAGTATAGCAGAGAACTGTACATAAAATCCTTTTGTTCCTCTTCTAAACATTTCTGTGCGGCATTTGCTGGCAGACCAGTTGACATATGGTGAGACATTCTTATCCAAATAACTGTTAATTGCTTTTTTTTTTTTTTATAATTTAAAAAAATCGTGTATATGCAGTGGGAAATATAACGAGGGCTCACACAAGATACAGTGTGAAGCTGTTAAAGCCAGAAGCCATACTTAAAGATGTTTTAAATGCAGAATGCCTGCTATCCTCCTTTGCTCGCAGATTCCAGGAAATGTGTTGCCTGCCTCTACATGAAGGCTGTACTTATGTCACATGGATTTCGACATGCACGGACCTCTCTGGAAAAGAGGCAGGTTGATCTGGGCTACTGACTGTTTGAGGCCATGTGTTACTTGCACCCAAGATCCGTGGAGGGGCATGGCATGCTGCAGGCTTGTCACGGTTTAGCTTTATTGCACCCCAGAGATCTCCTTTGGGCTTGCAAAGAGTAGAGGCAGGGGAAATACTGAGGCAGCAGGTAAGTGAGAAGATAGTGTTAACGTGCAGGCTCTGCCTACGGCGCTCAGAGTCCGGCCACTGACTCTTCAAGCAACTGGGTTGGGAGCTGCCGACTGCTCTGCATTAAGAAAAGTTGCCAGGAGCTGCTGATCGACAAGCTGGGAGGCAGACGACGTGCAGGGCTGTCTCTATCAATATATCTGAGATTTTGGAGCGTCTCGTCTCTCAAATCCCTAGCACGAGGAGGGACGTTGTTTATTGGTGCATGTGGATTATAATCCTTTGTGGCAGTTCATGTTCTTAAAGCAAATCTCCATTGGTATCCTAGGGAACAGTTTAAAAAAAAAGGGCAGGGGGGGCAGGGAATAAACGTGCTCCCACAAGTTGCCTGCAGACAGTATCAGAACTGGGGAGGAAAATAAAGATGCTAGAAAAGGGTGGACCTGAAGACGGGCTAACAATACGATGGAGGAGGAAAAGAGACCCAATATAACACAGGGACTCGTCATTCAGAAGTAACTGTTGTAATTGCAGGAACAATTGCAAACCATCATCAGAACTGGGAAAATGTGTTTCTTTCCAACAGGTTTACAGAACAAAACGCAATGAAGAACAAAGAGAAATTAAAGCAAAGAGTCATTTCCCCAAAGCTCCCTCCCTCCCAACCCGCCGAGCACCTCTTTGTGCTCTTTTCTGCCAAGAATGATGCCATAGGATGTCAGCGCCTGCCCTTTGGGTTTTGTCGGGTCTCTTGTCTCCTGCATCCTTCTTTCATCCTAGAGGGGAAGAGAGAAAGAAAGAAAAAAGGCAGAAATTAAGAATAATGCTTGCACAGACTTCAAGTCTCATCTTCCTAATGCAGAAGCCAAAGGTTTCCCTATCCATCACACACACAAAACGTGTGCATCGTGTGATGTATCTGCATATATTACATCTACAGTTATCTCAGCAGTGTCTCAGTGCAGTATCTCTCTCTTTTGCTGATGAGGACTTGGTAAACTATTTCTGCCTTAACAGAGTGCCACCAATCTGTAGCTTCATGCACGCGTTTATTCTGTGAATCACTGGAATAAATTCTCTTGCTCACAGCATGGCAGATCAGTTTGAAGTAGAGACTGGCCCTGGTGATAATCTGGGAACTGGGACCTCCTCCACCTGTCCACATTATTTTATTAGAAAATCCAAGGCAATAATGCAAGGGATAAGACACAAGAAACCAACTAGGCCTTCCTTCAGTTCATAACCTGTCTACTGTTCCCTCCCTGTTTCATGCTATGAACCTGCCCATGCAGATTGACATTTCCTGCCCTAAACTATCCTTCAGAACATTCCTCTCTCTTGCCTCCTCATCGCTGGGTCTCAAACAGAACTCATCTTTCAGGCACATTTTAAACACCTCAGCTTTTTGCAGCAGGGGCCAATCAGCAACCAGAAGCACAGCACTCATCCCATGCACGGTGCTGTGGAGATGCTTGCTCATGCAGACACTCACCAGACCTACAACATACAGGGCCTGAAGAGCTCTGACATGATCCCTGACCTTACAGGCAGCTGGTCTCAAACCCATGGCTTCATGAAGAAGCACAGCTCTGGAAATCGGTGATGCAAACTGGCAGCACTAATTAGGGGTTTGTGCTTTCCCACAGCAACAAGCCACCTAGCAAGCCCTTCTTTCAGCTATCAGAAGTCCCTGGCACTGGTGGTACTTTGATGCCAGACCACACAACATTTTTCAAAAGCACCACATTCAAATAGTAAAAGTGGTGAGCAGAGACCTTGGATGCTTAACGTGCTGATTGGTCCTCCCTCACCTACCTGCTCCTTGCAATTAAAACAAGGCAGAAAGGTCAGGAGGACCCAAATGGAGAGCTGCAAAGAGTTCAATTTCTACTTCTAATCCCACACTTGCCATTAAAATGCTGGGAAAGTCTTTCTGTAGGCTGGCTCGGGCCCCTTTTGCTGCAGAGAGGTGCCAGGAGAATGAGACCTTGCAGCAGAATTGAGGACATTTATTAATTAATTGCTAATTGTGGTGTCTCTCTGGTGAACTTCACCTTCATACAGCAAAAATGACTGCAGCCCAAAACATTCAGAGATATTAATTTCCATAGGAAAATGTGGCTGAAATGCAGACCCTCCTACAGAACACGTGAAAGCCATGATAATTGTCACATCCATTTTTTAAACCACTGAAGGGTATTAACCTTTCATTGTATTTTTAACTCTGAGAATTTTATTAGTTTCTTTTCCTTTTTTTTTCTCTGAGAGAACATATGACAGGAGGCTCAGGAAGGGGGAAGGAAGAGCCGTGGAAGCCGAATTTTAATTGCAAAGGCATTTTCTCATTGTGTGTTGGTACTTTTTAGCAGGGACACCATCGGCTGTATTTCTCGCTCCAGCAGTACAGCAGCACATTGTCAATATGCTGACAAGGGCAAAGGGGCGTGCTCAGTAATAAGACCTTGTATTTTAAATCTCTCCAATACAGCTGCCACTGTTGTGAAGCTTCTATATTTGGTCTTGAGCTACATGAAATCCTATTACATAAATAGCACACCTTGCCGTGTGTGATATTGACAATGCCGAGGCAGCGTTGCGGATTAATGCTTAAAAATTCTGTTCTGAGATGGACGTAGAACTCCTTCTTGTAGCTGGGGTGGGCCTGGACCGCTATCTTCTTAGCAAATTACTCATTTATTTTAAGGCTGATGCTGCTTACATCCACGAAGACTTCCACAGCAACAGCTACCATCGCTGCACTCTTGCAATAGCACCGTCATTTAGCACATAAAACAGTAAAGCTCAGAAATGCGGCACAGCTCCAGAAAGCAGCTTGCTCCATTGCCTTGTTTTACAGCAGTGCAGTCACAAGAGACATGGGGCATTGCAGAGCCAAGGGGAGGAAAGCCCTCGTGATGTGAGCCTGTTGCTCCCAGCGTGCAGATCGCACAGAAGCCTGTTCTGACCAGTATAAATTGCCTGCCATTTTCCAAAGTGATGCCAAAACTCACTCATTCCGTTACTCTCCCACTGCTTATCTCACTGCTGTCCTGCCTTCTGATGATCTAAGACCACGCACTGTCCAAAGCCATCACAGCTGCAGAATGCTGCTGCCATCCTTACCTGAGAAATCAAGTCTACAGGAGATGTTTATCGTTTTGTGCAACAGAAGCTCTATTAGCCCATTATTTTTTGTACTCTTTTTTTTTTTTTTGTGTGTGTGTGTGTGTGTATGTGTGTATCCTAACTTTCATTGCGGTCAGTTTTAAATTGAGTTTTCAAATAGAACCAAAATGGAGAGGAAAATAGCCATAAATATCTTACCTATTAGTTAAGCTTCTGGCACAGTTTCCATTGGATCTTTTATACTTTCAACTTGACTATCCATTTCAGCTGAAAACAAAACAAGACAGTAGTCAAATGCTGCTCACAATACATGTGAAGTTTATCACTTTGAGTAAGAAACCACTCTCTGCCCAAAAGGCACAGAGTTCAATTATCACACTAAAAATGTTGTGTGTTCTATTTATGTATCTCTTATGCCAGTTGTCTTAATCTGCAACTACACGGAATCTCTGATGAGAGGTTCTGCATGGGTATACGCTTCAGCATCGCTAGAAATGCCAAGCCTCTGGATGCAGATTTTCATCCAAATGCACTGAATTTCATTCTGGCACCTACGAAAAATGGCCAGCTGATGAGCTAAACAACCCTCCTCTGTCTCTGCAGGCAACCAGCAGATGTATAGGTACTTCCAAGGGGTGATTTAGAGCTTCACCAGGCAAAGCAGTCTTGACCCCTACCTGCTACTGCTGGCGTGTTGCTGTGCTGCGGTGAGGGGTTACATGGACACGCAATCATTTATTTGGCACCTGACACGGAGATTTTTCATGTTGGCCATGCTAATGAGGGCTGCGAATCTCTTGGCTTCCCCATGTGATAACGAAAGAGGAAGGATTTCCTGCATGGAGCCTTTGGCTGAGAGCAAAACCTTTGATGTGAACATTGCCAGCAGGACCTGGGCTGCGCCGGGGGCTGGATGCAGATCCACCTCTAATTGCAGTGACGCTGCCTCTGCCTTTGGCTGTCCTTGAACTGCAAACTGCTGGAGGGGCAACAGCACTACATTCCCACATGTACTAGTTTACTAGTGTACTATCAATTTACCCCAACAATCTTATTTTTTCATATAAAATTATTGCAGAAAAAAAAAAAAAAAAAGATGATTTACATGGAAGGCTTAAGTGCATTTCAATATAACCATAGTTTAGATGTCATGACAAATCAACAGTGGCACGTGTGATTGGCTAAACACAAAAGGGTTCCTTCAGCACATGCATTTGTAGGATGAGTAGTAGTTAGTATCTGCTCTGAAATGAATTTGATCGAGGCCATTTATACATTTTTCTGCTTTTAACCTTGCCTTACTTTGTGGTCTCAGCTGCAGTCATTTCATGTGTGCGACAGGAAAACCCTCAAACCTGAATGAGAGATTTGGAAACTAAGGGAAGACAAGGGAAACAAAAGGCCAAAAATCAATAGCTACTTGCAGCCAGGCGCTACGATCTCTGAGTCAATATCGTGTCAATACACCTGTTAGGATTGCGATGAATTATTTGTAAATTATTCATCATCCATATGCAGAACAGATCCCATAATGGCTTCCTGGATGTATGCAATGAATAACAAGAAAAGTATCCGCTCCTGATTATGGAGCTCTGATGCACATCGCATTTAGTGATGTTGTGTTCTTCATACGCATTTGCATAGCAAAGACAGGATGCTTAATAAAAAATCATTAAGGGAAGGCTGCTGCGCACTGATGACAGCAGCCTTTCTCAGCCTCATTATGCCAGCCGGTTTCACCAGCTTAGTTTTCTGAAAGTACCAGAAGGCTTTGCTCACATTTCAAAGAGATTTCTTTCAAAACCAAAGCTTCATTTGAAACCCGAGGTCAAGCTCTGTCAGCATCCCAAACGAGCATGCCTCTTTCCCCCCCTTTACATTTTTTAAAAGCTACCCTGCTCTAGCTAACAGTGCTTCACGTCGGGGTGGGTGAGATGCAAACCACCCAGCACCTCTTTAAGGGCAATGCAAAAGCACAGGGAGTCTTGAAACACGAAGCCAGAGGAGAAGTGGGAGGAACTGATGTGCCCAAGGATTTCACCATCAGCTTTTTTCCACATATAGGTGAGTAAGCTCAGCTCTTTGCATTAACACTGACAGGGACAGGAAGATCTAACTGAAGGATAAGCTTCTGCAGACCACTGGGTGAACCCCAACGACAGATGTTACGAGGCCACCTACGTAATCCTTGACACTTAGCCTGAAAAGCCACGGAGCACCTACTGAGGAGCAGATGGAAGGCTTGCCACCAGGAACAGGGAAACGTGACTCACCAGCCTCATGGCACGAGTCGGTGCTGGAACAATGTGGTTGGCCCCAGGCGTGCTACATCTAATCACAATGCAAGCCAGAAACAGGCTTCTCACCACTAGAAGTTTTTACATGTGTTAAACTGCTAAATCACATTACACACGTCTAGAGCTGCCAGCTCAGCAAAGCACTTGAAGTTCAAGGCGGCTGCCCATCACCTACGTGCAGCTTTACCAGTTCTGGAGCTTCGCGTGGGGGCTTTTTAAGACAGAAATAGACACTTCTGTGCAATAGAAACGGAGTCTTCTGTCTGTTTTCTACTTAAATTCTGGCCTGCTGGGGAGGACCTGTGCGCATCTCCTCTCTCCATCTGTGAGCTGCTGAGCAGCTCTCAAATTAAGACTGCGAAAGAGTTACCCCTCAAAAGCAAGCAAGTTCCCTGCAAGGGGAGAAAAGGCAAGGGGCGCAGAGTTCACACATGCAAAGTGGTGGCCGTGCTTCCACAGCATCCCTCCTCTCCCCTGTGAGCCAGCTGCGTGCTTAAAGGTCATGGAGCCAGCAGTCACGGCGCGGCATCTAAGCAGAGAAGACAGGTAAATGGGAGGCTGGAAAACTAAGTTCAGAGTTGTCTGAAAGAGACGACGCGCTTTCCCCCCAGAGGATAACGTGCTGTAGATCTGGATGGCAGATGAAAGAAAAGTATTATTGTATTGATTTAAATAGGAGCTCGGTCAGACTGCTACTTGCAAATGTCATCTGTTTCTTCAGCTGCTTCCTAAACTATGTCTCCCTTTGCGTCCGTATCACTTGGCTATCGCACACTCAGCTGTAACTCCAGACTGCTCAGGAAAAGAAAATTACCTATTTTGAATCAAACTGATTGTGCTGCAATGATATATGTGCACCTGTTTACTTGGCAGTTACTCGCCTCTTGGATATTACATACACAATGCGTGATGGTGTTAACTGCTGAGATCTTGCTTTTGTGTCGCTTCTGTGAGTCACGTGAAGGTCAGGGCACTGGTGCCACACTCATCAGCTTGCAGTGGCTTATGAAACAAACCGAAGTTTCACTTTTGACACTACTTTTGTGCTCGCTGCATCTTTTTCTTTTCTCCTGTTCTGTCAGCAAGTCAAGATGCAGCTTTCCACAGGCTTGAAATAAAAAAGGCCAATGAGTAACTCCATTATTGAAGGAGTGAAGAGCTTGATCCGCCTAATACCAGCTGCAAACTAACATCTACCTTTGTAATCTCTAAAGCTTTGGCAGAGGAGGAAAAAATTAGTCTGTGGGCAGAGAAACAATACCTGGGAAACCAGTTACTAAAGCTTGCTTTTGTCATCGCTAAACAACAAACCAGAAAATCTGTCCTGGGTACAAGAAATTTAATATCCAGAGATCTTTGCTCTGGTTTCAAATGGAGATCACAAGCAGCAATCTGTATTACTGTATATCCACACCTATTTGTGCTTACACACACACACACACAAACACCCCAACAGTGTTCCTGATGGACCATCATGACCAGTTTGCAAATTCTAGTCATTTCTGAAATCACTATCACTGAAATCCCTGCCCACTAGATGGGCAAATGTTGAGAACTGCCTCAAGTCTCTACTCTACACTCGGTGTTTATGGAGCACTTTTCACTGTGACATCGCACATGAAATTAAAAACCGGAGCTGAGATGCTGAGGGGAACCTGGTGAGACATTCTTGTGCTTTCAGCTGGGAAGTGCTCTCCTGGGGGCAGAAGGAAGGGGACCAGAGGAAAAATAGGCAATTTACATTAAAATTACCATCGGAGGGAATCTTTTTTATGTTTTGTTTTGCTTTAAGTCTCAACTAGTACCTGGTACACTTGGAAATCTGGGAGGCTTTTTTTTTCCAGTGAAATGAACTCATCAGATAAAACAGAGCATGAGGAACTCAATCTTTTTTTCAACCTTTTTCTTTTTAGATATAGGATTCTTTATTGATTTTTAGTATGCAATGTATGACTGCATAAAAACAACCCTGTACTACGATCCCAACAGCAAGTTAAGCTGTGGAGAAACAAGACTTCCCATGATGGCAGAATACGCTGCATTACTGAACACCCTTTTCCATTCCTTTTGTATAACAGGAATTCTGCAGAAAAGGAAGTTACAAGATGAGCTCTATGTAAAAGATCATACAAGATAAGCAAAGAATGGAAGGAAAGAAACCGGTGAAGATCACTGTTGCAGAAGCTGTCAGCTGAATCAGGCTGTTCTGCTTTCATTCTGAGCAATTTCTAGTAATAGCATAATCTCCAGTATTAAAAAAGGCAAACCAACTAGCAACCAAACCCATTAAGCATGCTTCCTTTCCCTGTTCTTACAAAAGCTTCTCTACAGTCCAGTATCAAAATCAGACGGCAGTCCAAATGTTGCAACATGATCCAATGTCAGAGAACAGAAAGTGGCATTAGATACTTTGTGTAATTAATGTCAAAAGGAATGCAAAAGTTTTATCTTGGAGACATAAACATTTTTGCCTTGAATTTATATTATGTAAATGCTGAAGACATTAGGGGATGAATCAGAAATTGGTCTGCACTACAGACAGGGGTTTCGTTGACGATGACAGACAAAATGGGAACTGGAAGCTCAAATCTGAGAACATTGCCTTTTGAAGCAGTCAAAAGGACCTTTCAGTCAAAATCCAAAAGAGTCCCTCGTGTAGTTTTGTTAAGCTAGAGGAGCCCAGCCAGCAGAATGACGAAGGGTTTGCCTTACCAAAACCTAAGCACCAGGGCCCTGATCCCATCCAGCATTTCTTTACACACAGGAAGAATCCAGTTGGCAATTTTTTTTTACTTTAAGAACTGGCTATGCATGATGAGTTGGAGTAGGGACTTAGTACTCAGCCCATGCCAGCCAGACAGCCAAGTTATCTGCTTACCAAAGGAACTGACCAAAAATGATTTCATCAAGTTGCAGGTTGGGACAACTGGGTTGCTAATGTTCACAGACCCAATTGGAACTGCTGCTAGGTCACAACATCATGATAGTTTTATTAGCAGTAAATGTTCTAGGAAGATAATTTCTGTTTTCTACCAGACCGAGCAATGCTAGGGCTTCCTTTCCTCTGAAGGGAAATCAGCTCTGAGCCAGAACAAGCTTGTATGTTGACCTCTAATTGACATTAAGTTCAGAGTGGCTATAGAACCAATGCTTGCCTCAGGATGGAGTCAGGCACTCTCAGAAGCTTTCACAAATACTATTTTCTGACTCCTCTGTGAGATGAGATACATCTTGGCCAAATCAATTTCCAGACCAAAATTACAGCAGGCCTAAAATACCGCATAGTTAAAAGGCAAGCAGATTGAATGTATCAACTGAACATATAAACTGAGCCAATTAGAAAAGCAGAGGTATGAAAGGGGCTTTCAAGGAAGTGCTGTGGACTCAACTTTATGAGAAACACACTCCACTGAATCTTGATGGACCACAGGGAATGTGCATCCAGACCAAAAAAGACCCAGGAATAATTGTAGAAAACAAACAAACAAAACTAATCTCATAAGTCTCTAGCAGGTAATAGTAGAAATTCACAGAATCACAGAACTGCAAGGGTTGGAAGGGACCTCAAGAGACCATCGAGTCCAGCCCCCTTCTAAAGCAGTTCCCTACAACAGGTCACACAGGTAGGCATCCAGATGGGCCTTGTGTATCTCCACAGAAGGAGAATTCACCACCTCTCTGAGCTGCCTGTTTGATCTGTCAATCTTACTGTAAAGGAATGGAACTTCCTATGTTCAAGTTTTAAGTCATTGCTCTTTGTCCTATTGCTATGCACCACCGAGAAGAGCCTGGCCTCATCCATTTGCCTCCCACCTCCCTTAAGAAATTTATGAACATTAATCAGATCCTCCCTTGATTTATCTTTCCCCAGGCTGCACAGCCCCAGGTCTCTCAGCCTTTCCTCACAAGGGAGATGGTCCAGGTCTTTCATCATCTTTATGGCCCTCTGCTGCTCTCCTTCTAGGAGATCCCTGTCTGTTTTGAGCTGGGGAGCCCAGAACTGAACACAGTGTTCTAAACGTGGCCTCACCAGGGCAGAGTAGAGAGGGAGGATCAAATCACCTCCCCTGCCCCACTGGCCGCACTCTTTGTAATGCACCCCAGGATATCACTGGCCTTCTTGGCCACAAGGGCACACTGCTGGCTCCCAGAAGTCTCAGTTGAAGAGCTAATAAACAGAATTCTTATTCTGGGGGGTAAGCATACAGACAAACCTTAGGAAAGCATGCTATTTGTGCACTACGATAATGAAAATGTTAGAACAACAAACCATCGTTACTTGAAGCTTCTGCTGCTTCACATGCAAGTTCAACCTTCATAGGCTCTGCAGAAGTTTCCTCTTGCTCTTGTATCCCTGTAAGTGAAAGGAGAAAAACTGAAACTTTAGTACCTGATTAATGTATAATGCTCAAACTCTGCATGCCTGTTCTTTTCTGTATTTCTTTTTTTCTTGTGGCATGCTTTTACCTTTATAGACTGTGCTGCTGTAAAATGGCAGGTTTCTGAGAAAAGGGCAGGGGATATGAGGGGTGGAACATGGTTTGAAAATAACTGCTTAAATATTTGCACTTATCTGCACTCCTTTCTAACTAGGATTGTTAAAACCCCATCGCAGTGTGTGCTTCTGTCTCCCTGCTGTTCTTCTCCTCAGCATTTTCGTAGAAGCCTTTATGCTCATAAACTGCAGTATGTGATGGGGACCTAATCACACTTATGAGCTTCTCCAGCTAGCAGAATAAAAATAGATACAGCGAGAGTTCAAACATACCCATAGTCAGACACAAACTAGAATTTGAATTTAGGCAAACGCACTTTATTGCTGAAACTCAACATTTTTATCTCTTCTGCCTCAGGCTTGTCTGCAAACTTAGATTCAATCTCTTAACAGTATTTGAAATGGGGAAGAAAAACTGTTTTTGCTGTTTCATAGGCAGTGCTCCTGATACTCTGCCATTTGGAGTGTCGAGAAGCCAGTTTTTAGTTCATTTCCATCAGAGCGCTGCTCTGCTACTGTGGCCACCATAAGCTGCTGCCTTGCCCTGCGGTCCAGCTCCAGGATGCCAAGCTATTGGTTGCTAAGCAATCGAGACACTGGGGGTGTTATGAGGAAACAGCAAAGCGTGGCAAGGACTGAAACATTTCGTAAGGGGTTCACTCGTGAGCGGAAATGATTTACCACTGCAGCAACAGACGTAGAACATTCTAAGTAATAGACACCTTTCTGTACGGGTTGAGAGTGTTTTTATAAAATGCACTTCAGTGCACTCCATTCCATTTGTCTGTAAGCATGTATTTCCCACTGAAGCTTTCCTTCTGATTGTATCTGCAAGCCCAGGTGCTGTGACGGAGATGTCAGCCCTCTCTGATGGTGATGCTGCTCTCACAGGCAACTTCTAGCACACTGCCTGTAGTTCTACCAAGTGTTAAAATGCTAAAACGAGGGCCCAGCAAATGCAGAACCAACACAAATCAGCCCACTGTTTCAATGAGTGCAGAGGGAAGCACGATGGACAATGTTACAGTGAGAGATGTTGCCTGCCCTTTTAACAGAAAGGTCCCACGTGTGCTGCTCTTCCATGAGCCTGAGTGAACGGCTGCGTGAGAAACAGCACTGTGGAAAATCACCACCATGAACACAGCATCTTCATGTGAGATGCCCATGTGCTTGCTGCAGGGATTCAGGACCCACGCTAAATGGGGGTGCTCTCCTGCTGGCAGTTGATGCCAGCGGATCAGGCTTTGCCCACTCTCCAGCACCATCTATGAATCAAACAAAGGGGATGCGATGTGACAGCTAACGTCTGGGCTCCCAGCTCCTCTAGCAGCTCGAGCTGTCTCCACGGCTGGCAGCTCCTCAATGCCTGCCCGGAGTTCCCGGCCCTACCCCAAGATCTCCCATTAACTAGCCAGCACGCCTGGCTTCACCACGCTGCCGAAAGGCTTCTCGCTTTCCACTTCAGAAATCCCTCATGCAGCTGACAGGTGCAAAGCATTATTGGCACGGTGCGAGCTGAAGACAGAGCTTAATTAAAGCCACAGCATTTTGTGCACACACGTGTTGGTGTGTGCACGCTTGTACTAATTGGGGCTGCTGAAAGCAGAAGGTGTCGAGGGCCCCCAACGCAAAAAGCCTCAGGGTGGGCAGCCCTCAAGGGAGACCCAAAGGGCAACAACAGCTGCAGCAAATCTGTAAAATTGCTTTTCGTAAGGTTGAGGGCTATGAACGTTGTCAGAAGAACACTAGCATGCGTCCTACACTTCCCCTTCCTTCCAAGTCTGCTTAGCTGATTCGCCATCCCTTCGGGGACTGGATTATGGCCACATTGTGCTTTTTATGGCATATGTTGATTGCTGCAGATTGTCAGCAAGAAAAGGATAGCGAGACACATTGTTCAGGGACGAAGGAGGCAGGAGATATTTTAGACCTTCACAAAGCTGAGTACCACTGCAAACCTTGGGAGGGTGCTTGTGCGCTCTACCAGCTGATTTTGGGAAAGACTTTCAACCCGCGTTAACATAAATCTTCATTTCTTCCCCTGCTCTTGTTACAGGATGGGGACAGCGGCACTTTGCCACACTGCTGTGCACGCGGGAGGGACATGATCTGCAAAGCTTCTTCCCTGCCGTGCAATAAAACCGAGAGCCTCCTGGAAACGAGCCCATTTCCCATTAACAGCAGGACCTGAACAAAACCAGCACGGCAGCGACAGCCCATTCATTCCAGAGGCCTTCCCCATCCCCACTTTGGATTGCTACAGGTTAGAGCACAAACAAGCGAGGTATTTCAGGTCCTGCGGCACCACAGAACTGGAGGGAGCCTGAGAGGTACTGCTTTCAGTTCCAATTACTGAAGCCAGTTGTGCTCCTGGCAGAGCATCGCTGCCCGCACCCTTTGCGGGCTGCTTACACAGCTAGCAGTAACAGCAGGATGCCAGGGCAGGCAAAGGCACTCCCAGCCTTCTTAAGCACGCCAGACAAATATTTACCAGGCAGACAGAAATCTCTGTCCTGTTATTTTATCTTTTTTTTTTTCCCCTCCTCTACAATCACAATCTATTGGTAGTTCCACGCAGTTAGAGCTAATGCACTGCTCTTTGGAGAAACACAACTCCAAATTCACATGCAATTCATGAAATCAAAATGAAGATGAACAGAGAGGTCAGATACCTACATCCATTCTCCACACTCCTGATAAATTAGCAAGTGAGAAGTGTTTAACTCCTCCTCTTGCGTAAGATTTATGTCCATATGCAGGCAACGATGCAGGCTTAGGAGCTGTAATGCAGAGCAATCCATACAACTTATTTTTACCTGATCATCAGCAAGGCTTTGCTGTGTGCTGAAGAGTGCTTCTGTCATCAGAAGAAAGAGGCAGGCTCCTCTCCCAGGTAACTCAAAGCACAATCCTACCTCAAGTCTCTCCAGAACCAATGAGAGCTGCCTGACTCTAGGGGGTTGATTTGCTGCTGACTGTGAGGCAGTTGGGAAGATGGAGTGGTCATGGCAGAGCCCAGCCTCAACAGAGCCCTCCTGGTGCCTCTGGGCTCTGGAACAGGAACCTGGATTTCTGCAGTGAATTTCCAGCTACAGTATCATGGACAAGCTTTAAGACAAACAGAAAAATGAGATTTCATGCATAAATGAGTCCCTCCAGTACAATCGGGCAACACCAAGATAACGCGGATCTTAAAGAAATCCCCAATGTTTGTTAGAAGCCTTGTAACTAAGAGTAAAATCCTTGCCTTAGGATCATTCTGAATTCTTGAAGAAAAGCAGTTAGCCATAACACAACGGTCCAAGGCTGCTACTACTGCTTTTTGCAGGTAAAATGGCAAGGTTGTTACTCCTGAAAAATACCTACAGAACAGATTTGTTGGGTAATGCTACAGGATTTCCAATAAAATGCTCTTCTGCCCATGGACAATTTGCAACCAAGGGAAATTCACTAGATGTAAGCTATTTGTCTAGCAGCCACTTCTACTCTGGTTATATACCTTGAAAAAAAACACCTCAGTCATTATGTAATATGAAAATTACATTGAAGCTATTCTGAATGATGCAGGTTTCCGCAACACACAGCCGCTAAATTAAATTTATTATTCTACATTTAACTGTAAATATGCTTCCCCTAATTGGGACACAGTGAGAAACGGGGGCTCGTTAAAATCTGAATTTCTCCAGTTAAAATTTGAAAGTACCATTTTCCATCTGCGGCAACAAAAATGAAAGACAAAGCTCTTGTGACCCAGAGCTGCATTGTCTTATCTGTCAAAACTAGTTCCACTTCTCCTGCTCTGCAAATAGCCTGGGCTGCTTTTTTCCTTCTTCCCATTTCACTGTAGCTGTTTGCTAATGTTACTGTCAAGCCTTCGTGTACTTTGTTTACTGCTGCATTTTGGTAGCATAAATGCTGCTTCACTTAGGAACTGGAGAACCTGGTTTTGCTCTATTCACCACCTCCATCCGGCATGATTGACCCCTTTTGACCACACCAAATACCCCCACAAACAAGATTTACGCTGCATTTTTGCACGATTCTGTATGCAGAAGTGCCCTACCTCCTGCTCTCAGGGCTCTGAGCCACAGCAGTCACAGCCCTGCTTAATTTTGTTACGCTGAAGGCTGGGGGCAATTCCCCCCTCGCCATCCTTCTGTGACGTCCGGGTTGAGTACGAGTGTGAGGCTCTATTCAGTGCAGCTTCATTAACAAACGTCTCCATCTGTTCAATCAGGAATCTTTTACCTTGATCAAAAAACTCCCTGGCAATTAGGCACCGCAGAGATGAAAAGAAAGCTCGAGATGTCAGAGGAAGGAGCGCTGGCTGGGACGCCAGCTTTGCCAGGCGCTGGAAAGAGCTGAGCATCATTTCTTAATGCCGCCCTTAGGATTTGCAGCCCCTTCATCATTAAATCGAGTGTTTACCCTCCCTTGTGGCATTTTGGCTCTGTCTCCAAGAGCAGCAGAGCAATGAGGCTCCCCGTCCCCGCGGCGCAGCGTGCATCGCGTCAGCTCTGTGTTTGTGCACGCGTCTGTACCTAAAGGCACTGTTATTTCCAGGCTCAAGCTGAACGGCAATTCTTTTAAAACGTGATTTAAAAGTGTCTTAGAAGTGCTTATCCCTATCCTTTTTCGGTTCTTTATTAAATATACTCTTAGTAAATCTCATTATGCCTCTTTTTCCCTAAAGGTGGGAATGGGAGTGCAGGGAGGATTGTCTCCCAGCAATCTGGTCCATAAGACCCATACAAATTGGGCGTCTCTAAAGTCGCTAATGCCCATCAGGAGCTCTTTGTCTCTTTTGTCTCTCTGTAACAACAGGATAGACCTGCACACAGCAGGCTCTTGATGAATAC